TCGGACCCCGGCAAAAGCCACTCATGCCGCCGCGCCGTCCGATGGAAAATCGAACCGCCGTCGCCGTCGGGTAGCTCAAGGCTGGAGCTGGAGCTGGAGCTCGTGTCGCCGTACGCCGCGCTTTGGATCCGAGGCTTTTGGCGGCTCGCCGCTGCCGATCTTCCTCCGACGGGAGCAGTGGGCGACAGCGGCACGTGCACGGTGCGCCGTTCATTGCCGATGCCTTTCTCTATCGATGATGGCCGCCGGCCCCGCCCCCGCGCCGCACGCTTTTCGTGCCGCAGCCCGCAGGAAGCAGAGACCGGGAAACTGGGCCGCACGTTACTCTCGGATAACGTTTCCCGCCAGAAAAAAATGGGCAATTGCACGCGCAGGGGCTATGAGTGAGTATGATTACATGGTCGAAAGATATATACTCTATATAGTTACTATTTCTCTCAAGGTTTTGGTGTCTATGCACCTGGCATTGGCGACATGTCTTGTTAGAGCATCTACAGCGAGGCACCCAAACTATCTCCAAACGTCTTGACGAAAAACTGACCCAAACGGGTGCCTTAAACCGTCTTCGAACGCCCGGGCCGTCCGACGTCGCTCATATCCAGCCTAAATATGGGGTGGATATGAGGCGGCCCGGGCGCGTCCGCCACGTCAGGCCAGCCCACCCCGACCACATAAATATCCCCATCCTGAAAATCCTAGACACATGTCAATCCGAACTCTACTTTACTTCCTTCTTCGTCCACTCTACTTCTGATTCCCTCCTCTCCGATCCGATGGCCGGCGACGGAAGCAGCGCTGGCTCTGGTACAGAATCCGACGGCTTGAACATCGATGTGGAGGAGGTGGCCCTTCACATCGCCTTGAGGAGGTCGCTGCTAGTGCAAGGCGGCCCCGGTAGCGGGGGATCTTCTTCCTCAGCGCCCGTCGCTCGTCCATGCAGCGTCGGCAACGTCGCCAACCCTTCCCGCCGAGCGCGCAACTCTGACCACTCTGCTTCGGAGGCGGTACTCGGCCATTGTTGGGTCCTCCTGCCCGCGCGGGGGCCGGTGTGCACTTGGATGCCCGAGTCCGAGGCACGAGCAGTCCCGACGCGAGCGGCAGCGGACGAGGGAGAGGGCAGCGATAGGGGACGCGATGTCCGCGCACCGTTCGCACGCGAGCGCGCCATGCAATCCCGAGGTCGCTCCTCGCATCGGTCCCCCGCCGCTCTCTCGCCGGCGGAGACGGATGCGCAGCGCCTCCGCCGCAAGAATGAAGTTGTTAGTAGTATGAATTTGCCGTTGAACTCCGATGAACGATGCTCCTTTTGCCCGGTGATGCAATGTTGATCTAATAAACTGTGTTTTGATTGTGTTTTACGTAGGGTTGCATGGGCTGCATGGTTTTTAGAATTTGAATATGAAGTACGCGGGCGTGGAAACCAAAAAATGAGACGTGCTTGGTTAATTCCCGTGGACACGCCCGCGCACCTTCGTAGTCATTTGAGAGGCTGGATTTTCTCTTCACTTGTAGATGCTGTAATCCCCTGTGCTTCTCCGACGCGCAGAAAAATGGCCAGTTACACGAATGCAAGGGCGGAGGATATATAATTACTATTTCTCTCAAGGTTTTCGGTGTCTATGCACCTGGCATTGGCGACACGGATCATCTTGTAAAATCTCATGTGCGCAGGTTCTCTGGGTAGCAGTTGGGACCTGTACTGCTGTCCAGGGCGGTTGATGCCATAGGCAGTTGCGAAAGCTCGCTTGCTCGCGCCATGGCCGGCGCTCGATGCGGACCGGATTTTGAGACAGATATGACCTTCCTTTCTTTCTTCCCTCGCCACCCCTTTTGACCCCGGGGATACGTTGCCTCGGCATCCGTTCTTCCAGCCTCGAGTCTCGACCTCCGCAACACACTGCCTTAAAAACGGTAAGGCCTCCTTTGGTTCATAGGATTGGAAAATCATAGGAATAGGAAAGTCATAGGAAATGAGATGACATGCATCTCAAATCCTATGCATAGGAATAGAAAAAGAGATGCCCTTTGATTCACACCATAGGATTTTTTCCATTGAGTCTAGGCTAATGTTTGTTTTCCTATGAAATGTGGAGGATAGGAAGAATTCCTCCATAGGAATAGGATTTCATTCCTACAAACCAAAGAGCTCTGAAGGAATTTTTCCTATAGAAATCCTATCCTATGAAAATCCTATAAAATTCCTCCAAACCAAAGGAGGCCTAAAATTAGTCCCAAAACAAAGCACTCCGAAACAGCCAGTACTTTTTTTTTTTTTTTGAAACGGAGGCAAAGATTGCCTCATCTATTAATTAAGCAGAAGAGAATTGCCCAGTTAATTACGGAAAACTGGGCGAAAACCGGAACAACAAGGGCCAAGCCCACACCCCTAGATTGAAACACATTGGGCAAAGCCCATCCTATTGGACAACATGTCAACTTACAGCCAGACAACACAGCTCCGACTCTGACGGAGAACACAGAAGAACAAAACCAGACACGGCTGGCGCCACGAAAGATCACCGAACGGGCCACCTGCAGCCAGTCATCGTACACCACAGGGCCCCGCCACCGCAGCTTCGACTCCACAGCAACAAACAAACCGAGGCAATACCGTGGACACGCCGGAGAAGAGCCGACTACCGCAACCATTGCCGCGTCGCCGACATCGCTCCCACCATCATCGTTGCCACAGAAGTCTGGTTGCCATAGTGATTTTTCCGGGGCCGCCGCCCCGACATCCACCGCTCCGTCACGCCCAGCGCAATCAACCGGCACCGCCTTCCAGGGCCGCCGCCCCGACATACCACCGCTCCCCTCGAGCAGCAACGCCGCACAACCCAGCTGCCCGCAGCCCACACTGCTCAAGGCAACCGCTCGCAGACCACGAACGTCTCACCACATCCGGGGCCGCCGCCCTGACATAACGTCAGACCGCCCCCTATGGGGCGCATCGACCGAGCCGACACCCCTACCGCCCAAGCGGGACAAGGATGCCACCCAACCAATGTGGAGATAGAGCCTCACCTCATAGAGCTGCCACTCGCATTGTTCCCGAGATCGCCATCTCGACGCACAATCAGAAACCACCCAGAGTCGCCGCCCCGACGTCCACTGTCCCCGACGACGAAGAGATCCGTGCAAACTGCAGTATGCTGACTCTCCAAGGCTAAAAAAACATCCCCCCGTGTCGCACCCCAGGCGGCACCGGGGGCGACACTCCTCCGCCGCCAGCGACCCCCGCAGCGGGATCCATCTCCGCCGCTGCCGCCGGCCGTTGCCGCGGTGGCGGCGGGCCCTGCTACCAAAGGCGGCAGGGGGCTTCGATTTTGCGTCTGGAGGCGTCGGGGGAGGGGCGGAGCGGCTGGGGCGTCGTCCGGCCATCTCGTCGGCGCGAGGAAGCCGGGGCGGCGGCCCCGGGAGACGGTGGTGCCCTTCTTTCTTGGCGGGCGGCAGGAGGTCGCCGGAGGGTGCGTTCTGCAGCGGTTCCTCGGCCGATCTCACCTCGGTCAGATCTGCATCTGGCGTGGGTCGGAGGGGCGGCCGGTGGTGGCTGTAGTTTGCTATGGTCTGCTGGTGGTCCGGTCGGCCCTGCGGTGGACTGCCGTGGAGGAGCTCCGGCTGCTCCAAGCTTTGGTGGTCGGCGGCATGCAGCAGTTTTGGGAACAGCGTGGCAATGCGAGGTCCAGCAAGGAGGAGGTCTCCGGCTGCTCTGTTCTTTGGGGTGGTGGTGCTCTGCTCGAGGAGGCCGGGGCGGTGACGGTGCGGGTCGTCGTGACGGCCGGGTTGGACGTGTGAGGTGCGGCGGCAGCTGCACCATGAGGTGGAACCGGTGGACGTCGACCATGGAGATTGTGTGTGTGCAGTGCTTTGGATCCGCTCGGATTCGGAGGTGTGGAGGAGCTTCGGGTGAAAGCCCTGCACGGACTTTGGGTCGGTGCCGGCAACGGCGGCGCCATGGTGTCGTTTTTCTTGAAGGCGTTGTCGTGAAGCTCCATTACACGACTCTCCGGGAGAAATCCCTAGTTTTAGTTGGTTGAAACAGCCAGTACTACTCCTACTACCAGTGTACCACTCCACGAGGCCACCGGCAGAACACAAGTAACCGACCGAGCAACTGTTTGCGCCCATTGCGCCCAGCTACCAGCAACAGGCAGCAGCAGGTTCCTTTCTGTCTCGGCATAGGAAAATCATTAGCAACGCATATGGTTAGAGGTAAGTAGTATTAACGGTTTCATGATTAGCGTGCGCTCGGGGTCGCCAGGCCGGCCGGACACAATCAGTAGGCGTTGCGTTTGGATAAATGGATTTCGCTTGAGTTCAGCCTGTCGCCTGGCCCCGCCGCCGCACTGCACGGCTTGCTGTTCCTGTTCCTGCCCACTCGGCGGCGCCAGTGCGCCATGATTTCTCTTCGCCACCGTGATTGCTCCACGCACGCTCCAAAAGAGGAGCAACTTGCCGATCGAATGCCTAAACGCATACAGTGCTGCTATTACTACTCGTCTGCGGAGTGGTTCGTAGTTTTTCCGTTTCGGGTTCGTCATCTTTTTTCGTATTCAATACGGGCAGATGAGATCTAGCCAAACCGACAGCCACAAGGATCGACCGATCGACCGACCGAGCGTGGAAACGAACAAAGTGGCTAGGCATGCAATGCAGGGAGTGCACGATAGCTCCATGCTGATGCTAATTTTCTCTGCTACATCCAACGCCACAGATATCCAAACCGAAGATGGGAGGGAGAAGAGAACAAGTGGAAATACGTGCAAAAAAGCTACTATTACGCCAGGAAATGAGAGAAAGCAACAACAAAAAAAGGCGTTGGAAAATGCATGTCGAGCTTTGCCAGCTACGCGCGGCAGGCATCTTACCTTAAACCCCCAGTGCGCAGAGGCATAGGCGCCGCGCTCACGCTACATATCCGGGCGAGCCGAGCTAGCTAGGTGCACGCCACTCTCGGTCCACACTCCGCTCACGCCCAGACACACGCCGCGCTCCGCACAATGCGGTGCCTGCAGCTCGCCGCCGCGCTGCTCCTGGCCGTCGCGCTGCCCCTCGCGGCCGCCGCGGGGGCCAAGGCCAAGGCCCCGGCGGCCCCTCCGGCGCCGCCGAACGCCACGGAGGCGATGGCCAAGGGCGGGTGCAAGGCCTTCGCGGCCCTGATCGCGGCCTCGCCCGACGCGGCGTCCACCTACGACGCGGCCGCGAGCGGCGGCATGACGGTGTTCTGCCCCTCCGACGACGCCGTGGCGTCCTTCATGCCCCGGTACAAGAACCTGACCGCCGACGGCAAGGCGTCGCTGCTGCTGTTCCACGCCGTCCCCGTGTACTACTCGCCGGGGAGCCTCAAGTCCAACAACGGCGTCATGAACACCCTCGCCACCGACGGCTCCGCCCGGAACTACAACTTCACGCTGCAGAACGAGGGCAACGTCGTCACCATCAAGACGGGCGCCTCCGGGGGCGTCGCGCGGGTCAAGACCACGCTGCTCGACACGGACCCCGTCGCCGTCTACGCCGTCGACAAGGTGTTCGAGCCCGTCGAGCTGTTCAAGCCCGCGCCGTCCCCGACCCCCGCGCCCGCGCCCGCCCCGGCGGCCGACGCGCCCAAGGCGGGCAAGGGCGGCGCCGCGCGCCACCGCTCGCCCCCCGCCGTCGCGGACGCGCCCGGACCCGAGGCTGAAGACACCGCCCCGGCGGACCAGAAGAAGGACTCCAAGAAGAGCGCGGCCGCCGGCGCGCCGCGCGTCCGGTGGCTCGCCGCGGCGCTGGCGGCCGTCGCCGTGGCCTCCACGCTGGCTTAGGGTATTTTAGTTTTCCTCCCTGGTGTCTGATCCATTGGCGTGATCGGTCGTGGCGTGACGGCGTTCTCGTGTAGTGCCCCTGCGGGATCCGTGCTACTTCCGCGGAAGACATAGTTGTGTGCTCGATTTTCCTCTGGTTTCTTCTTCTATTTAGATGCTCTTCTCTGTTTGTTGCTGCTTGGCATCTGCTCGTGCTACATGAGAGGTTTCATGGTATCTTGAGCTCACCAGAGATTGATGTTCTTTTGGTCGATCTGGCGCCGGTGAGTGAAACCTTGGAGCGAAGTTGCTCCATGCCGTGTTAACGGACGAGCGCATTTTGCGAATTTTCTCGTCGACAATATGTTTTGAGTGACATGTTCCTAGTTCTACAAAGTCAATTTCTGGTTCGAGCCAAGTCTCAAATTTTCTATGGCGTGTTCGTCAGATCGTATAAACAAATGCAACGACGACGGGTCCGTTGCTTGAACGGCGCGCGAGCCTTCATTCATTTCTTGGGACTTCAGCTGTCGGTGGATGCTTTGCTATCCGACTCAAACGGGTCAAACAACACAAACCACACATGAATGAAAGTAGAGTAGTGCAGGTGACAAGTAGAATAAAGAGAGGAGGAAGGAGCGGTGAAAAAGCTTTGGCCCGGGCTGATGCATGCATGGCGATCAGCAGCGAAAGAAGAAGAGAAGTTACAGCACCTTCCATTTCGGGCTTTCGGCTCGGCCTAACTATATCCCGCACATGGAGAGCTGAAGCTTGGCAGTGAAAGTGTGATACCGGCACGCTGGGCCTCCACCGCGCTGCCGCTAGCCCACTACGCACGGGGCTCGAGGCGTAGCCCAAACATCTTTTGGTGCAAGAGAGTGGTGCTCCTCTGGATTGGACGGTGCACCGAGACGAGACGATTTAATGAACAGCAGTCAGCAATCATGTGTCGGCCGAGCGATCCCGTGAACGGTCGAGCAGTTCCCGCGGCCCGGCCGAGGTTGCCGACACGCGCACGCCACCACCGCGACACCAGCGGCCGAGAGCAGCCATGCACGCCTAAAGAACTGCCACGGCCACGGCAACGGCAACCCGCGCGCACGCACGCCGATCGGCAAGCCATCCGCACGCACGCAACGACGGTGAGCTAGTTATTAGTTAACCAACGCCTGCAGTTCCGGCGCAATCATGGCTCGCACAGCGCTGGTCCTCGCCGCACTCCTCCTTGCCGCCGTGGCCGTGGCGCCGCTGGCCAGGGCCGAGAGCGCCGCCGACGCCCCCGCCCCTGCCGACGCGCCGGCTGCCGACGGCCCGGCGGCCGACTCCATCGACGAGTCCGCCTACGCGCCGGCCGTGGAGGTCAACAGCCTGGCCGACACGCTGTCGCCGGCGCCTGCCCCCGACGCCTGAATGGATGATGACGGACACAGTTGCAAGGATCTGTACTCCTTTTCCAAAGTAAATCATTCACGGTTGGAATTTTGGTTTTCCTAGGATAGCTAGATGGATTATAGCCTGTAGTGGGCTTTGTGGAAATCTAGAAATGAAGTATATTTTGAGAATATTCCTCCATACGATCCTTCGACCGTTACTACGCAATCCGCTTATTGGCTAGTAGAATTCTTGAAATTGTTACACAAATGGTACCACAATTCGGGCATCACATGCAGATTGGTACCATGATTACTAATTTTTGCGTGTCAGTACCAACATTGGTCCGGGTTTTGCAAATAAGACTAAAACGCGTATTTATACGTATTGACGCCCGATCCGACAGCTCGGGCCCACCCGTCAGGTGCCACGCTGGCCAATCGGCGCGTGCCCGTGCGCTGACTAGGACGAGCCGGTCTGCTGCTGCTCTCCAACCTGGTCCGGTCGCACCAGCTCCAGCCCGGCCGCACCATTCCCCTCCCCTCCTCCTCCTCTACTCGAACCCTAGTCCATGGCGTCGGCGATTCCGCCAGGCGGCGGCGACGGCGTCCACGGCGGCGGTGAGATGCCGTTCTGGCCTCCTAGCGGAACGACTGGCGTCGACGGGTATGGCGGAGACGACTCCAGCTCCGCGTACTCGACCGGCGACGAGGAGTCGATGTTACTCACCATGGAGCAGCGGTTGCTGTTGGCGCATCAGTGGGTGGCGAACCCTAGCAGCAGCCATGAGTTGACTCATGGACTTGGCGGCGTGTTGTAAGTACCCTTGTCCTACTCCTCCTCTGATTTATCCAACTGGCCATTTTAAGGGTTTGTTCATCTTCTGCTTTATCCAGTTGGGGATTAGGTTTTATCCAATTGAAGTGACTAGTATAGGACAATTAAACTAACCTAGTAACATAGTGTATTGCACTCTCAAATTAGTTCAATGCATGTGGCAATTTGGGATTATTTTGGCTCTCCAAATTGTTCTGTGATGTACTGTACTGTTACTTTAAATTGTTCTGTACTGTAATGTTGCTCTCCAAATTTTGCTATTTTGCTGAATTAGTAAATAATAGACTTACAGGTTACTTTAAATTGTATTGTACTGTACTGTTGCTCTCCAAATTAAGAGTAATCATAATGAATAGACAAAATTTAATTTGTTCTGTAGTTTGGATGAAGACATTTGGCAAGTAAGGATCCATTTTGATGCAAGAGAACCATTGGAGATGAAGCTGTGTGGTTCAGATATTACTTATCTGAATTTGGTTGCAGTGATGGAAACCCAAGGATTTAATGCATATGATTGTTTGTATCACATTGAAAATCCATCTTTAGGAGAGAAAGGGCTGGATTTGGTAGACAGTCATGCAGAATTATAGATGATAAAGAGGAAGATCCAGGACAAATTGGTGCTTAATTTCCTAGTCAGGGCTTGTCCACCCCCTGATACTGATTTTGAGAGGCAGCATTTTGAAAAGCCAGACTTGTCCACTGTGGTGTACCAAGAGCCTATTGTTTATGATCTGAGTGAGCCTCCTATCTTAGTTGTTGATCAGGAAGGAGTAGTTTTTAAGAGTCAATGTAGCATCTCTAGCACACATCATCCTGCTGGTCCTCCTGGTGTTTGCACACAAGAAAGCAAAAATGCAACAGACAAGTTGAAAGCAGTTTTGGAAGAAGAAGAAGAGGGATATCAAGGATTTGAGGCTTATGAGGACAGTGATGCCTCTGATGAGGATGGACAAATTGGAAGTGACCCTCATTACATGGTTGATGATGAAGATGTAGAGGTGTAAGAGGGAAAGAGACAGAGAGAGCTAGAAGTACAAGAGGAAGAATCAGATGATGATCAATCAGAAGAGCAAGAAATGCTGAGGACTATGCATTATGAGGGTGACACTGAAGTTGAGGACCCATTTGAGGTAGAGGAAGATAGGACTTTTGAACAAGAAGAAGAAACTATAGTTGAACCTGTAAAGAGGAAGCAGAAGCTGCCAGTTAGAAGAGGACCAACCACTAGGTCACATTGTAGTGAGCTACCAGAGGTTGTACCTGATTTCAGACCATCATCAGATGAAGAAGAGAAGGGGTTGTTGAGGGAGAGTGATGATGATGGTTTTGAGCCACTCTCTTTTGTCCTACCAAAGAAAAGGAAGAGTAGGGCAAAGAAAAGGCCTGCTAGGAAGTGGTACAATGAGAAAATGGAGCAACCACATGAGCAACTGTGTATGAAGTTGTGTTTTAGGGATCACCATCAATTCAGAGATGCTTTGTTGAATTTGCACATCACCCAGGCCAGGAATTTCAAGTATCACAGGAATTCAGATCAGAGGATAATTGTTGAGTGTACAGATAAACAATGCCAGTTCTTAATGGTGGCAGCAGTTATAAAAGGGGAGAAAACCTTTGTAATTAAGAAGACGAGACTAGAGCACACTTTCCCTAGTACCACTGAGACCACCAGGGTTAGTGCTAAGTGGCTAGCACAGAAATATGAGCATCTCTTTAGATCTAATATAACTACTGGTATTCAGACTATAATTGATGCATGCAATGAAAAATATGGTGTAGATGTGCCCAAGTGCATGGCATATAGGGCAAAGAACATAGCTATTGAAGCTGTGTTAGGAGATCACAAGAAGCAATATCCTAGGCTTAAAGACTATGCTCAGACTGTCATGGACACAAACCCTGGGAGTAGAGTAATAGTCACTACTGTTACTTCAGTACCAAATGCAAAAATACCCCATCCTGGCCCAAGATTCCATGCCATGTTCTTTTGCCTTAATGGAGCAAGGGAGGGGTTTCTCAATGGGTGTAGGCCATTCATTGGTTAGTTCTTGAACCTTGTGAACCATTTACATATTGTAGAGTACTCCATGTTGTATCTCACTTGAATGTATTTAATGTTTGCAAATGTTGATTATGCAGGTGTTGATGGATGCTTCATTAAGCTCACTACAGGTGCTCAACTACTTGCTGCCACTGGTAGAGATGGCAACAACAACATATATCCACTGGCATTTGGCATAGTTGGTCAAGAGGACACACCTAGTTGGTGTTGGTTTCTACACCAACTGAAAATTTGCCTAGGGGGAGAAGTGGGCAAGTTTGGAGCTTATACTATAATGTCAGATAGACAAAAGGTATGTGTTTGCATATTTCATTCTGTTTTGAACAAGTGTTTACAGTAGTTTAGATTTTCATTGGTGCATATTTCTTTAGCTTGTAGCTTAGACTTGTTAAATTATTTGTGTCAGGGGTTATTGAATGCAGTGAATGCTATGTTTCCAAATTGCAACCAAAGATTCTGCCTTAGACATTTATATGCAAATTTCCAAAATGTTGGGTTTAGGGGTGAAGATCTTAAGAAGTGCATGGATAATGCTAGCTATGCCTACAATGAACACAAATTTAATATTGCAATGAATGATCTTAGAGCTGAAAGTGAGGAATCTTGGGAGTGGCTTACTGCAATACCAAAAAAACATGGGCAAGGCATGCATTTGACACAAACTGCGAGACTGACTTGGTAGTGAACAACTTGTCTGAGGTATTCAACAAGTACATTCTAGATGTTAGGAGAAAACCTACAAGGACAA